CAACAGTGTCGACACTTTCACTTCATCTCCCGCCAAACTGGAAGTACACTGTAAGTATCGAATTATAATTAATCATTTAAGCCCCTTTAACATCCAAAACAGCGCCAGCAAGTTTGGTTGTTTGAAATAACATTACTGTTTTGATTTTTGGCATAACATACACATAATTGTTGCTATTTCTGACGTCATGCGTGATCTCGAACTCTCTGTGTGCGGATATTTGCTTTTGTTACCCTGACAATAAATATGGCAGTTATTTTAAGGTCATTGTTTTCTGCTCGAGTACTACCTTCACATTTCTTAGTCGATTCTTCCGTGTTTACAATTTTGGCATTAACGGAGGTCACGAAAATCGACATGGATTTTCCGCGAGGAATATGTGGCGCTATTTACAGTCGTCTATAGTAATATAACGCGACTGCGTTTATTTTGAGGTCGTGACCTCATTGTTCGGAAGTATTTACCTTTGGTTGTCGGGTTACGCTCCAGGGGTAGGGTAGGGATTGACTACTTTCGATTTCTTTCTCAACCAAACTATGCTTCCAAGATATGGACGAACTTCTTGTCAAAACTAGTACCTCCAGACAACTTCTACTCCGCTGGCTTTCATTCTTGACGTTGTTGGTATCCTATTTGTCCGCTCAAGAAGGTAACAAATATTTCGTATTTGAAAACAAGCGCTTTACGCGTCCATTTTCAAGCGGAAATCAAGCAAGTCGGATCTTTCTGTATCACGCCACGTTTATACTGCCTCGTGTTTACGTACATCAAGCTGGTTATATCTTTACTCTGAAGTAGTTAGGCTTATTTTTTGTCTAAACACATTTTCGGAAAGAAAGTTACCATGCTAAACGTACATGTAGAACGATAGATTGCTTCAGCCGGTTGTTCAAGGTCGACATGATATTACGTACTTCTGTTTTCACGTAAAGGGCTTGGAATCAGAACCGCTACAAGATAGAAACTGATAAATTTTGTTTGATTCAGACTGAACGTGTTGCTTAAATACCGTTCTTCTGCATCTTTATGTATGCTTCTATTTACGGTGGCTTTGGAAGTGGCAGGTGCACGTCAAATTCTTGTTAATGTGAATCGAAAGTATTCCGAACATTATTAAACTATTTAGCGTTTCTTCGGTTTTTCGTTTCGCTTAGTAATATGTGACTTGAGAAGTTAAACAGCTGTCATTATGTCATTAGTGTTTTAAAAACGATAGATCTAGTCGATATTTTGCTGCTGTTTGTATGTTTGTGCGTGTAACTAATGAAAATGAAGCATTTCAACTGATGGAACTCGTAGCACTTCCTTGTAAGCATAAGTTCGGGTTATTTTATTTGTAGTTAATGCATCAGTTTCTAAAGGACAGTTTCCCGTCATTGTGCCCGCAGTTTCAAAGTGTTTGTAGCTAATACAGGCATTAAAGAAGCATTGCTCTTCACTGAGCTTTTCTAAAAACGAAGAATAACTGTGAAATTTAACTGCGAATTGTTGTTGAAGAGTGTATAATTGTATAAATTAACTCTACAGTGGAACCAAACCCACCATTGAATGTGTCAGTTGACTCAAACAGCTCACGAGTAGTGAATATTTCCTGGATTGCTGGTTTTGATGGGAACAGTGCAATTCAGAACTACACGGTGAAGATAAGTGAAGATAATACAAACTTTGTAGATGCTGTCTGTCAAGGATCCCTGTCAAATAGTTCCTGTGTGGTATCCAGTACAAGTGCTTCTATTGGAAACCTCTTACCTTGGACATTATATTACTTTAAAGTGTTTGCAAGAAACATAGTTGGCATCAGTAATGGGAGCCTTGTAGTGAGTGCTACCACAGATGAAGAAGGTGCTGTACATGTATATAAACAATGTAGTTGTTTCAACATTTACATACATGTAATCTGTAACATTTAATTTATTCAAATTGTTGTTTTCATCCTACATTACTCAGGCACAGATTGCTAGATATTTTAATAACAAGGTGAATCAATTTGAATGTTTGGCATGATTAAAATGTGACAGCTTTTTTGCAGCTGATGGAAAATAACATGCACAAGAAAAGCTAATAAATGTGTTGGTTGTTTATTTATTTTCTTTATCCATTCACTACTATTGTTTCCTGCAAAGTCGGGTGCATACATGTACAGCTGTATGTAAAAAGGGTCACTGGCTTAGGAAAGTAAGAACAAAAGGTCAACTTTATTATTACTTTTAGGAATTTTTTGCTTTTCAAATGTTTCAGTTCTTTCTTTGCTTGTTTCCTTGTTTACTTGGGTTTGCTTCCTTGCTTCATTGTCTACTCTTTTGTTGCCACATTTTTGTGTAATGTTTATGCCAAGTTACAGTTCGCCTTTGAAACTCAAATTAACTTTCTATGCCAGAGCCTGGTACTTCACCTGAAAATGTGACAGGACAGAACAGCAGCTCAACCAGTATCTTAGTCATGTGGGATGAAGTTTCAGCTGATCAGCAGAATGGTATCATCACGGGTTACACCATTACTTACAAGTCACAAACAGAAAATAATGATGGAAATGTTCAAGTAAATGGCTCTGTTCGTCAGACGGAATTGACAAATCTAAAGGAGTACGTCAACTACAATATCACAGTGCTTGCATCTACTGTGAAAGGAGATGGACCAGCCAGTGATCCCATTGTTGTAAGAACAGACCAGGATAGTAAGTTATCTCTCTTACCAAATTTTGTTCTGGATGTTTTGGTAATTTCTTAATGCTTTGTATAGACTTTAATCAGTAGAAGTGTGTCCTTTGAAAGGAACCATTTTTAAGCGATGACGTAGTCGTTCATCGCTTATTGCTGGCAAGCTGCATTCTTTTGGATAAGTGACCTTACATTTTTTTTGCGCTGCACTTATGTCACACACAATTTACCCCTCTGTGGAAGCAAAATAAACTCTGGGAGCTAGTAAATTTGACACACTAAAAATTCGCCATCTTTGGTTTCAAGCAGTGAGAAACTTTTTCTTTGCGGCTGACCTTTGGAGTTTGTAGGATCCGCGTAGTGCCTTTATTTTCAGCTTTTAAACAAAGATTTTGAATGTGGATTGTGCTTTATCGAGTATCTGAAAAATCTGTGCTCACGGACAGACTCAAAATAAGTACATATCTTCCATTTATACAACTTAAGATCAACAAGCAAGTTGCACATGCAATAGGTCAAGGTCCACATTAAATTTACCTATTGGTGAGCGTTGTTTAGGCTGGACTTTTGCCTGTCTTTAGTTGAATTGAATGAGCACTGTCAGCGCACTGTATGAGCATTGTATGAGCACTGAAATAGCTGAACTAAACTTAAGTGTGTGGCTCACGCGATAGGTCAAGGGTCCACATTTACGTATTGGTGAGCGTTGTTTAGGCCTGAACTAAGATTATCTGCGGGCTGAAATATCGGTGAAATTGAACGTGAAGTTTGCTGCGAAACCAGTTAAGATAGCAGAAAGCAATGGAGAATAATGTAACGAAACGGTGAGCTACCTGAAGGTTTTGTCTTGATCAGAACTGGTTAATGTAGCTTAGATCATGGTTTCTTTAATGCAATACAGANAAGCAATGGAGAATAATGTAACGAAACGGTGAGCTACCTGAAGGTTTTGTCTTGATCAGAACTGGTTAATGTAGCTTAGATCATGGTTTCTTTAATGCAATACAGAGCGGCAGTTGGGTTACACAACATGGATTTGAAAGCCAAAGAATACTCAAGTCATGTAAGAGGGAAGTTCTGGTCTATGCTATTGTTTATGTTTTACCTAGAGGCAATATATCTTCCAACTTTAAAAAAAGTAATTAGCTCATGGCAAATGAGTTATTATGGAAGGTTTTGGTTCACTCAAATGTGTGTGTATCGCTTTTACATTCCTTTGTTGATTCTTTTAGCTAATGATGTGGAAATGAATCCTGGGTCTTGTTATCGTGTGGATTCATCTAAAACTGTCAGTGCTGACTATCATAAAGGTGACGTTTCACTGTTTGGAATGAGTGTTGGTCAACTATGTGTAGCGATGTGTTTGACTGCACGCATGATTTATCTCTCTGTGGAAGCGCACGATTTATTGCTCTGTGGAGGTGAAATGCAGTCTGGGGGCTGGTAAATGAGACACTGACACCAAAAATTCGCCATGTTTGGTTTTGGGGAGTGAGAAACTTGTCCTTTGTGGCGTTCCTTTGCAGTTTCTAGGATCAGCAGAAAGAGCTCAGATTCGCCATCTTTGGTTTTGGGGAATAAGAAGCTTATCCTTTGTGGCTGTCTTTTGCAGTTTGTAGGATCTGCGGAGTGCCTTTAATTTCGGCCTTTAAATAAAGATTTTGAGTATGGATTGTGCTTTATGCAATAGCGGATAAATTTGTGCTCACGGGCAAACTAGTAACACGAACACATTGTCCATACATACAACTTTAGATCTACAAGCAAGTCGCACATGCGATAGGTCAAGGGTCCACATTAAATTTACTTATTGGTGAGTGCTGTTTAGGCCAGACTTTTTGCTGTCTTGAAGTGAATTCAATTGAATGAGCACTGTCAGAGCAGTGTATGAGCAGTGAAATATCTGAATTAAATTTATCTGTGAACTGAAATAAACTGTATTGGTGAAAGTTTGGATCCGCCACTGGATTCCTCTTCAGGACACCTATCACAATGTTCTTTTTACATTGTTTTGTTTCATAAAAAATTTTTAAGTCTCACTACCGGTCGTTTCGTCTATTTAGAACCTTGACCGGCTGCCACTCATAGTCAAAGCATTTAAGTAAAGCTGGAAACAAGTAGGGATATTTATGGGAACAGATAATATAGCAAAATTTGAAGTGAAATGAAGATCTTCGTATGAAACAGATCATGTTTCCATTCTTTACAACGTGCATTTAGTTAAGAACTAATTGTCTTCCTGTAATGAAAGAGGTTGTAACTGTCACACACGATAAGAGCACAAATTAGGTTTGGTTTGTGAAAAACAACTAGAAGACATGTGATTTAGCCACAGGATTTACAGCTGAAAAAACATTCACAATGGAAAACAGGTTACCTTTGCAATAGAATCGAAGGTCTACAGTAGTGTAGTGAAGTCAAGTTACAATTCATTTGCAGTTTTCAGTTTGTGAAGTTTTACAAATGTAGTATTTTAAATTTTGTGTCAACAGAAGAGTGGTTGTAATTAAACAATTGATAATGGTTTTGTCAGTGGAATACATGTAGGAAGGTTCATTGATAACAGGGATTAGGTTAAAACAACAAATTAATTTCCAGTGAGGTAATTAGTGTGGCCAAATGTCTGTTAAGATAATATGGTGTTCATATTCAGAGAGAAACAATGAGAATACTGTTTGTTGTTTTCAAGTTTGTGTATGTTATTGATGTACTTTAAACAAGACGTTTCACTTTATTCAGAGAGATGTAAGTTGGTTTTGCAGTATTTCAGTTTGTTGAACGAGTTTACAATTCTGAATTCATACTATTTCACCCTTTAAAGTGCCTATGCAGTAAAAAATAATTGCTGCTTATTTGAAAGGCTTTTCAAAGTAAAAAAGAATGGCGTTTTCCTTTTTGGAATATCTTTTTTCGTTTGAGAGATATTTATGTTTTTCTTAGGAAAGTGATGACGTCATAGGTGGTTCCACTAAAACGGCACAACACTCAATCGAGAATAACTCTAGAAATATTAAAGCAGTGTTCTTTAAACTTGGCACCAGAAATGTACATCACAAAAGAAACATAATGACACCCGTCATGCCATTGCCATGACAACAGTTATGCTGCTGGTTCTGTTTTAATTAAGACTAAAATTCCCAGATTTTATCTTAAACAAGGATCATCCACTCCCACCAATCTAATGGAGAGAGTTAAGACAATATGGGAACCATGTGTGTTCCAAGCAAGACCCTCTGTCCCACTTTAAAAGGTTGCAAATGGGGATATTCGGTTTTTCACAGAAGGAGACTGGAGCAAGAGTGTTGTTGTGGCAACAGCATAGTAGGTGTCATTCTGTTTCTTTTGTGATGTACATTATTGTGGCCTGTTTTTAACAGGCCACAATAAGAAATATTACTGAAATTTGTGAGTTTAAATAACCACTTACCTTACCAGAGGTTTGCCAGTGATTAACAAAAATTGAAAGCTGGGCTTTGCCTTCTTGGTGAGCCTTGCTATGAAAAGAATCTGGGAGATTTACATCCTCAGTTAAATGTCATCGCTTCTGCATGCATTGCATGCCATTTATTGTAGTTGAAGGGAAAGAACTCATGATGTTGAAGTAACTGACCTCAAAATACTGAACACTTAAGTGGCCATTAGAAGTTTTAGAAGACATGTTGTGACATACATGTTAGAGATACATGTAATGCGATTTCATTTTATAGTGATGTCCTTCTTACAAACCCCTGGTCTGACATTGCAGAATATCATCTATTAATGAATTAATTAGTCTTATTTTTCTTAAGTAATAAATTGGTTAGTTATTTTAGTTAGTTAGAAGGTTGGTTAGTTAGGTATTTGTTCTATTTCATTTAGTTGCTTATTTGCTGTTAGGCGCATTGAGTTGAGAAATGTGCCCTATAAAAATGTAGCTATAACTACTATTATTAGTGTTAATTATTATTATTAGTATTATTATTATTATCATTATTATTAATTTTATAAACTATTAGTTTCGCACGGTGTGACATGTTACATGTACCTTGTACCTTGTTGGTATACAGATTAAATAATTAGAAGAGACTATGATGAGAACATACAAAACGATTATGATAACCACCAAAGAAAAAGATTGTTAATAACTGCCCTCACAACATTTATACATCTATGTACAAAAGCTCAACTTGTTTTGAACTTTTATATCAGAACCTGATGGTGCTCCACAAAATGTACAAGGACAGGACCACAGCTCAACCAGCATCTTAGTCATGTGGGATGAAGTTCCAGCTGATCAACAGAATGGTATCATCACGGGTTACACTATTACTTACCAGTCACAAACAGAGAATGACAATAACAGTGTTCCAGCTGGTGCTAAAGAGAATGAAAAGGAATTGACCGGTCTAAAGGAGTTTGTCAACTACAATATCACAGTGTTTGCATCTACTGTGAAAGGAGATGGACCAGCCAGTGATCCTGTTATTG